CGCCCGCCACGCCGCCGTCCCCCCCGCCACCACCACCCCCCTTCCCCGGCTCGCCCCTCACCTTGCCGTCGCTCTGCCGCTTGCCCAGCTTGGTCTCCTCGGGGTGGTAGAACCACTTGACCTTGACCACCATGTTGCTGCCCCAGGACTCCCACATGCTCTCGATGCGCCCGATGTAGGGCAGGTTGGGCCGCCCGGCCGAGAGGAAGACGGCGCAGTCCCCGATGCGCAGCGTCTCCTTGCCCCGCACGATGGCCTTGTAGAACAGCTTCCGCGCCTTGCCCTTCATGCCCCGCCGCTGCCGAGGGGGAGCGGGAGGGGGGTCAGGGACGGCGGACGGACCCCCGCTGCCCCGCCAGCCCGGAGAGACCCCAGGCACCCAGGGAAAGCAGCGCCGAGCCGGGGCGGGATGCTCCCCACGGCACGGCCCTGTGCACCCCGCAGGCACCCTGCCCCGTGCACCCACACCCAACAGCCGGTGTAACCAGCACCCTGCACTGTGCACCCAAGCACCGTGCCCACTGAACCCGCCCCATGCGGGTGCCACGGCTGCTGTACCCACGCACCCTGCCCTGAGCACCCAGCTGCTGTGCCCCCCCCCCCATGCACTCAAGCACCCTGCCCCGCAACCCCTGGCACCCTGCCATGTACCCCGCACCCACGCACCCTGCCCCACGCACCCAATGCACCTGCACCCAACGCACCTAGGCCCATGCCCCGTGCACCCCGCTGCGTGCACACAGGCACCCTACCATGCACCCATGCACCTTGCCCTGTATCCCCAGGCACCTTGCTGCACCCATGCGCCCTGCACCTGCACCCATGCACCCGCACCCGCGCCCCATGCACCTTGCCCCATGCACACAGGCACCCCGCCACGCACCCATGCACTCACACACCTGCACCCTGCCGTACACCCGTTCACCTCCACCCGTGCCCCCTGCCCCCGGGTGCCGCGCCTGCTCTTTCCCCCCAAAAAAAACCCCCCGCGCCGAGCGGCGGATGCCCGCGGCGCGGCTGTACCTGCGTGGGGTGGGGTAGCTGGCGCGCGGGCAGGAAGGCGGAGATCTTTGGCCGGTTTTCCACCGAGGGCAGGCGCTGCCTCCGGGAGAACTCTTTGGCTTTGGAGAAGCTGAGGGCCTCCTTGCGCTTGAGCTTGGCCTTGGGGCCGGCGGTGGCGGCCTTGGTGAGGAAGCAGCGCTGCGGCGCGCCGCTCTTGGAGCGCAGGGCCTCCGGCTGCGCCAGCAGCGCCGGCACCGGGTGGGAGAGGCAGGTCTGGAGCAGCAGCGTGGAGTCCTCGTCCTCGGAGCTGTAGGAGGAATCCTCGTTGTCGGAGGAGCAGAGGCTGGAGGTGGAGATGGAGCCGGAGCTGGAGGAGGTGGAGGAGCCCGAGGAAGAGGAGGAAACCGAGAGGCGGGTCATAAAGCGCGAGGGCACGTCGGCGCCCAGCCCACCCGCCTCCTCGTCCTCGTCCATGTCCGAGTAGGAGCTGTGGCAGTCGCTGTCGCAGTTCAGGGTGAACTCGGCCTGGCCCGAGTATTTCCGCAGCGCCAGCCCCACGGGCAGCTGGTGCACGGGCGCCCGCCCCTTCCTATCCTTGCCTGCCAGGGCCGCGTGGGCATAGCCGTGGCTGGCCAGGGGCCGCTCCAGCTTGGCCCCAAAGTCCTTCTCGGCCAGCAGCAGGGCCTTGCAGTTCTTGTTCTTGGGGGACGTCACTCCTTCGTGGTCCAGCTTGACCAGGTACTCGCTGCCTGCCTTTCTCCGGCTGCTTTTGCCCATTTCTGCCTCCAGCCGCTCGGCCTTCTTGGAGCGCAAGAGTTTCTGGGCAGCCGGCAGCACCAGCCCAGCCCCGGCCCCGAAGGAGGCATAGGAGCTGGCGATGCGGCTGAAGGAGTCGGCCCCGAAGCCGTTGCCAAAGACGGGGGCGGCGAGGTGGTGGTGGTGGTGCACGGGGAAGATGGCCTCTTTGGCCCGCAGCTTCTTGGTGCTGCCGTTGACCTGGAAGAGGTTCTGCAGCACGGCAGCCCCCCCGCCGACCAGCTCGGCAGCGGCCCGCGGCGCCGCCCCAGGAAGGCTCAGCACCGGCGCCTTGCCTTGCCCCGCCGCGCCGCCCCAGGAAGGGGTCGCTCAGCACCGGCGCCTTGCCGCCCGCCAGCACCTCCGCAGCTTTGCCTGGTGGGAGACGGGGGTCAGGAGGGGCTGGCGGCCGCGATGGGACAGATGGAGGGAGGGAGACAAGCATGCTCCGGGACTGCCCCCGTCCCTGCAGCCCGATCTCCATTCCCCTGTCGCTGCAGCGCCCTGCGCCACCCCCTTCCTCCATCCCCAGCCCTGCACCCTTTGCATCCTGCCATACCCCGCTCCCAACCCCCTGCACCCCATCTTTCCCTGCATCCCCTCTCCCTGCCTGCTTCCCTGCCTCCTATCCTCCCCCATGCCTGCATCCCAGCATCCTTCCCCGCATCCCAGCATCCTTCCCCGCATCCCGCCATCCCTCACACCAGCACTGCCGGCACTGCCTCCCCTGGGCACCCCCAGGGGAAGGTGGT